TATCTCCTTTTATAGAGCTGACTGCCTTAGTCATGGGTTTAGAGTCCCTTTCTCTCTGCTCCTATTTTTCAATGCTCCTATGAATCTTTAATCCTTTCCTGCCAGCTCTGGCAGGAGGGGGAGAGTCTCTTCCCTGAGCCCAGCCTGTAGCTGTTCTTCTGCAGAATGAGCAGTATTGATTTGAATTTGCTTGGGCTGAGGAAAGCACCGAAATGTTATATTCCCTAGACTAGTACAACAGGAGTGATTATCAGCTGCTCTTCTTCTTCCCCAGCTGTGCCCTGCAAGGCAGGGCTCCCAGCTGACGGGAGCAGGAGATGCTCTCCTGCCTGGCCAAGCTCAGGACTTGCCCACCGGGCCGTGCTTGGCTGGAAGGTGAGCCGGAGCTAACCAACTTTTGGGGGCCTCTGGGATGAGAAGGGAGACTGACACCACACAGTCACCTGCCTTGGATTAAAAAAACCCAAACAAGCTGAAATGCACCCTAGGATTGCAGGGCTAATAAAATAGCCCATGTTCTGGCATATGCATAATGAAGTCTACACTGCTGTAATTATCCTTCCACTGACATGTAGCCTCTTTGAAGTAAAGGCAGTTCTGCACTCTCCACAGCATCTTCTCACAGAATCAATAACGGCACCGCTGTCTTTTGAGAGCAAATATCATTTTCCAGTGTTCAGTGCTCAAATATGTTCATTTGGGCTGAGACCAATCAGCTGTACATGTGAAAAGGAGCTGTACTGTGATATTTATTATGCCATAGCTAGACAGAATTAAAAACAATTAATTACATGAAGGTGATTAATGTTTTGAAGCTTGTCTTGGAAAACACCTTGACACAAAGGTGTTAAATTAAAAAATGGAGGGTAGAAATTATATGACAAATATTTTATTATTAGTTTTTGGGAACTAAATCCTGAAACTTTCATAGTACTCTGAATTTTATATTGCCATGATGTGTAGGTCCAGATACCAGAGGGATTCTCTCTGGGTTTAAAACTCCATAAGGTTAGCAGAACTCCTTTGTAACCTAGGAGTAAATCATAGTTTCTCTTTGTCTTCAGAACAAGCTCAACTTTTACTGTAAGCAATTTCCTTCAAAAGCTTATGGGGAAAAAACCTACAGCAACATGGGACCAAATTCTGCTTGTTTGGTCTGTATCTAAAGCACTGCTGAGTAAAGACTCACCTGAAATTATTCCACAGTGGCACACTGGGATTAGTGGCTGTTTCTCTGGAAGAGCTTCCCCCCTTCCCCAACCTCTTTTCTCCCTTCTGTCCCACTACATAGTTTTACCTCACATTTATTTTTCTGAAACATCACACATGAACTAAAGTGAAAAGAGCAATAGGAAAATGGGATTAATTCACTGCTGAGTAAAGACTCACCTGAAATTATTCCACAGTGGCACACTGGGATTAGTGGCTGTTTCTCTGGAAGAGCTTCCCCCCTTCCCCAACCTCTTTTCTCCCTTCTGTCCCACTACATAGTTTTACCTCACATTTATTTTTCTAAAACATCACACATGAACTAAAGTGAAAAGAGCAATAGGAAAATAGGACTAATTCATCCGGTACAGGAAAACCTCTATTCCCTTACTTCAGGCATGTTGATTCATCTTGTGGTTACTCCAGAGGGAACGTTACAGCCCAACAGATCTATGCACAAAGAAAAAAAAAAAATGAAATAGAAAAGTACACAAAAATCTTTGGTGCTGATAATGGCTAAGACTTGTGTAAGGCCTTTTATGTTGAAGCCCTTTCGTAGTGGTTTCTGAAATTCAATTATTCTGAGACTGTCATGGGTATGTTGAAGAGTGATCCCAACTGCTGTTTCAGAAATCCTGTGGTTAAATGGAAAACAAAAAAATAAACTGACAAATAATTGTAACTTTACTTGTTCTTCCATAAAATAGCTGGCAGCAGCAATTTTTAAGTTCATTTTGGCTAGATTTGTTAGCAGGTTACTATCTCTTTATAATTTCCCTTCTATGCCTCTGCTACCTTCTGTCCAGCATTGCTTCCACCAGACTCTTCCCAGCTGCTGATTTACTCATGCGAATGAGTGTAACCCTAAAAGTGATGGCATGGGCCTCTTGCTACTTGCATGCGCCTCTTGCTACTTTCTTTTGCTCATTCAATGGCTCTGCTCCACATCTGATTTATTCAAAGTGACCCAAAATGGTGATGTTTAAGTAATAGTAACTTCTTTTATAATGCAATCTTAGATTTTCTAGCCTTATTCCACCTGTTGATGTTGTCACTTAACTTTCTAAGAAAAGATACAGTGTAAGGGAATAGACTGCTGGTATTATGCCTTGGAAGAGAGAAAAAGTTTGATCTCCAAAGTTTGGTTCCTTTCTCTTGAGGTTTCATCCAACTCCCACTGAAGTCAATTAAAATTAGGGTTTCTACAGAGTTTAGTGGAGCTGAATTAGGCTCTAGGCAAGTATGGCCTGTGGATTGGTCACGATGAACCTGCAGTTAGAAGAGAGGTAGCATTTATATCCCTCAACACTGGGGGGAAAAAGGATTTAAATATGAAAAAGAGAGGCCTGCACTTGTTCCCAGCTAATGGGAAAATTCATCAATAGGCCCTAAG